TCTCCCTTGCTTGTTCTCTCACTCTCTGAAAAAGAATGTTTCTAAAAAGCTACTGTTGGGGTGCCTGGGTGGCTCATTCTGTTAAGTGTCTGACTTTAGCTCAGGTCATGATCTTGTGGTTCGTGGGTTTGAGCCCCTCGTCGGGCTCTGTGCTGACAGCTCAGAGCCTGGAGCCTGCTTGAGATCCTGTGTCTTCCTCTCTCTCTGCCCCTCCCCTGCTCACTCATGCATGCATTCTTGCTCGCTCACTCTTTCTCAAAAATAAATAAACATTAAAAAAAATTTAAAGCTACTGTTGCTTGAAGTATAATTTTCTTCTCTACTGTAGAGCAATAATTGCTTAATAAAAAGTGGGTATGATTTCAAATTCTAAGTCTGTAACAGCTTTTCCAATTTAACTCTGTCTCATCCTCTGAATACAATACAAACAACAATGGAATATATGCAAAGTATGGGGGAAAAAAATCAATTGGTATGAAATAATTGGTATGAAAGAATCATGGCCATCCAAAGTCACATAGTGAGAATTAAGAAATAATTTTCCACTTTCACTTTGATTCACAGGAATCTTACTCATAAGCCCTTCCAGCTTATACCAGATAAGTAATTATTTCCTCTAAGTCAGTAAACTGCAACATCGATTACATTCAGTTACAATAAGTATAACCACAGCAAACCCATTCTCACATAGAAATTCTCTTTCCAAGGCTGATTTACAGTCACTGCTCTCCTTTCTGAGAAAAGGGATAAACTTAGCCAAAATGTGTTTGAAGATATATCTGTTGATACACTATAAAGTATTGCTGAGGTGGCTATCCGTACAGGTTTGCCTGGGACAGTCCTGGTTTACAACTGTGTCCCTGCATAGTTATTATTAGCAGCCCCTTGGACTCGCCAATGTCCTAGGGTTGAGTAACACATTACATTGTCAGGGTACTGTCCATACACAGACTGCATAAGTGCTAGGCCTAGAACTTGGAATAACTGCCTGGAGCCATCTACACTCTTACCTCATCTTACTTGTGCACTGATGGTATGGAATGAAAAATGCACCAAATATTCAGGAACGCAAATCCTGCCCCCTCCCACCAGGTGGTCTAATGCAATCTGACTAGGACTCCCTTTTAAGGTAATCCTATCGTTCCGTGGAAGTTAAAAAAACTATGGCAGACAAATTACTAGATAGCCCCCAAATCAAAAAATTAAGGACAAGGTACATACTTGAAAAATTAGACAGTCTGTTGTCAGAGATTGGGAGTTCTGTCTCTGTAATTGTTAATCCAAACAATTCCATGAAATAGAAGCAGATACGAATTTTCACTGAGCCTATGTATTTCTATCTCTGCTAATGGAAAATTATTCACCTAGAAAACTTAGGACCAAATTTGATTCTCTTTGCACTCTCTGAAATTAGTTTCTAGGTCTCCTTGATTCTATTTTTTAAAATCTCTGGAATTCATTACCCACAGACCTTTCATCAGAATGTGATTTCTCATCTGTAACTGTTACAGTAGCCTTCCTCTACTTTCTGTCCTTCTCCAATTCATTGCCCGCACTGCCGCTAAAACTATCCTGAACAAAGCAACCTCTTCAGTCCTCTCCTGCTTGAAACCTGTAGGTAATATCCAGACTCCTTGGCACAGCATTCAAGTCCTTTATCCTTGCACTCCAACCTTTGTCCCTTTCCATTCTCAGTTCCAACCACACCTTCTACTAAGCCCATCCGACTCAATGGTTCTTATCCAGAGATAATGTATTATAGATTGGACTAATCATCTAGGAGGTGTTCAAAAATGTCTGGGTACATTTTTACTTGTCACAGTGACTTGAGGGCACAAAGAACATTTCATGGGCAAGGACTGAGGATACTGAATGTTCAGCAATGTAGATTAAATGGCCTTGCCAAAATACCAACTACATCCCAGATGGGACTTATTGTTCTCCAAGCACATTATTTTTACACATGTGTGTCTCCTTCTTTCTAAAATCTATTTAGCCTCCCACCATTAGTTCTGCCTTCTTCCAAAATAATATTGTCCTTGGATGATTCAATTCAAACTCTCCTCTAATCTAAAGGCCTTGGCTGATTTAATAGCCATGTATACAGTATTAATGGGAGGTAATTAAATTACTCCCCTAACATACTGCTTGCCTGATATAGCTTAGTGTACTGAATTAAAATTAAACTTTTACCCTTTTGTCATTTTGTCATTTCGCTCCATGTTTTGTTTTGTTTTTTTCCTTATCCTCTCTATGCCCTAACATTTAAGCTCCTTAAAGAAAGGGATGTTCTTTTGGTATGTCATTCATTTTTTTTTTTTAATTCCAATTACTACTATTCACTTAGAAGTTGAGAATCATTTTATAAGTGATTTTTGGATTAAAAGATAAAAATCATTCCTGTATGACTATGTATAGAATGCCATTCCTTAATACTTTTTCTAATTGTTAAACTTAGAACTCAAAATATTCTAAAATGAACTAAATATTTTAGTTAAATCTTTTATTAGTAATGGTGCTTTACAGAACTATTTAATATAATGTATTACAGATTAGACTAAACTATGGATTACAAACTCAGATAAAAAAAAAAGAGGCAAAAGAAGCCATAGACACTGTAGTAAAGTGGAGACAATGTTCCCAGTATAAAGACATTTAAATTCCTTGGGGATTTTGTTGTTGTTGCGCTAAGTATGCCTTATACAGATCTTAACAAGCTTGTATTGGAGATGCTTGTTATACAAAAAATACTTAAATAACCTAAAAATAAAAAGCGTGTATGCAATGTACTTCTAGACAAAAGATAAAAATATTCTTATCCTACCCCCACTGAATTTTAAGTTTAAGATTGCACTATTTCTGTAGCATATTAAAATTACATTTGTTTTTAGCCAAAATTTTCAATTTAGCTCCCCCCAAGTTTCATCAACAGTAAATAGTAGACAAAAATCAACTGCTCACTTGCACATCTGTTCATATCTGGGGCTCGGTGTCCATAGTAGCCAGATGGACAGGAATGCAGGCATTCTCCATACTGGCGCATGCCTTCTCTTCGAAGAAAGAAGAACAACTTCTGTTGACATCGGCTGCACCCGTTGTCCTTTGAACAAGACAAACAACCCTTGCAAATGGGATTTGATACATAACTAGCTGTAAGAGAAAACACAAAACACACATTCAAATAGAAGTATGATCAGACCTCCGGTCAATACAACATGCTGAAGAGACAAGGGTCTCTGGTCCTACTCTAATCACATAGAAATGTGGAACAAAATATCCACTCCCAACCTGAAAAAAAAAAAAAAAGGTTAATACACAACCAAACTTAGAAACAAAGAGGAAACTCAGAGGTAGGGCTGAAGGTCTACCATGGCCTGTGGAGATGTTAGACCAGACAGAAGCAGACCTTATGTCAGGGTCTTGAATCAAGGCCAAGAAATATGCACATGAAGACCAGACACTTGGGTCTCCTTATGTAGACTGGAGTTATGAGGGCTGTTTGCACATGAAACCAGTACTAGAAGCCCCTGCCCTAATTTTCCAGAGAAGATTTCAACCCCAGATTAGGGGGATAGAGTGGGTGAGCACAGTAGAGAGAAAACATAGCCCATGAGGCACAAGAACCCCCAAATCCACAATATATCCAAGTATGGGATACAAGTTCAAACTATCAATCTGGTGTCAAATAACTAAATCAAGAGGCTAACATAAAAACGTCAATCCAGGAAAACCCACAAAGTAACAAATATCAAACTATCTTGTAAAGTTTTCTACAATCCTGAGGCCTGGAACTTGCATGGAAAACAAACTTCACATCAAAATGAACCAATCACTGGGCGCCTGGGTGGCTCAGTTGGTTAAGTGGCCGACCACCTCAGGTCATGATTTCGTGGTCCGTGAGTTCCGGCCCCGCATCGGGCTCTGTGCTGATAGCTCAGAGCCTGGAGCCTGCTTCTGTTTCTGTGTCTCCCTCCCCCTCTGCCCTTCTCCCATTTGCACTCTGTCTCTGCCTTTCAAAACTGAATAAATGTTAAACAAACAAACAAAATGAACCAATCACACGTACAAGCAAACCTCCATGGGGAAGAGTCATCAATCTCAGAAAGACAGACTTCACACCTAACCAGTCATATATAATAGAACCATCTGAAAGTCTCAAATGATTATCTTCAGAATATTTGAAGAGATAAAACAAGAACTAGAAATCACATGGGAAGAAACAATATCATATAGTGACTGTGCAAGTTAGAAAGAAATGAAAATTTTAAAACTGAAAAAAGTTCTATAGACAACTTTAATGGTACATTAGAAAAAAAAAAAGGTATTTAACTACAAAACATGTTTAAATAACTGTAGCACCAAAAAAGATAAAAATGTGAAAAAGGTAAGAAGCATGAAAAAAGAAAAAGTTTTAATACATGATTATTAGGTGTTGTAGTATCAAAAAATAGAGAATATGAGTAAGATGTAATATCCAAAGAGATCATGGCTGATCAGTTTCCAGATTTAAAGAAAGAGATGGATTCTTAGATGAAAGCTTCGTAGAACTGAGGGGATCAGTAAAAATAAGTCTGCATCTGAACACAGCATATTTATACTAAAGAACGAAGTCAAACCAGAGAGAAACGGTAAAACCTTGGTTTGCGAGCATAACTCATTCTGGAACATGCTTGTAATCCAAAGCACTTGTATATCAAAGCAAATTGCAAGAACCATTGGCTCAGTTGTGCTCATGTGACGTTCGGCATCATATACTACTTGTATTGCAAGACATCGCTCATTTATTTATCAAGTTAAAATTTGTTAGAAATGTTTGCTTGTCTTGCTGAACACTTGCAGAGTAAGTTACTTGCAATCCAAGGTTTTATTGTACATACAAAGGAATACAATTTTGGCCCCTAGCAGAAATCTCATCAGAAATAATAAGTGTTAGATAGTGAAATATTTTCTTCAGCATGCTAAGAGAAAATTATCAAACTATAATTCTATAAGCAATTAAATGATAGTTTAAGAATGAGGCCAAAATAAAGATCCATTCAGCCAAATTAAAGGCAAGAAACTTATTAACCACTCACCAAAAGAATAAACTGTATGTATTGGAAAAATGAAATGGAACCCAGAAGGAAGTAGAATGTAATAAGCAATAGTGATCAAATCAATTGAGAAATGTTGGTGTGTCTATTAAAAATTCCAGTTTTTAAAAAGTAATAATTGGGGCGCCTGGGTGGCGCAGTCGGTTAAGCGTCCGACTTCAGCCAGGTCACGATCTTGCGGTCCGTGAGTTCGAGCCCCGCGTCGGGCTCTGGGCTGATGGCTCAGAGCCTGGAGCCTGTTTCCGATTCTGTGTCTCCCTCTCTTTCTGCCCCTCCCCCATTCATGCTCTGTCTCTCTCTGTCCCAAAAATAAATAAACGTTGAAAAAAAAAAAAAAAAAAAAAAAAAAAAAAAAAAAAAAAAAAAAAAAAAAAAAAAAAAAAAAAAGAAGAATAAAAAGTAATAATTTCCAAGGTTTAAAAATAATACATATTTTATATTTAACAGCAATAATGTGGAAGAGTTGAGGAGGGAAAACAAAAAGCATTTCAAGTTTCTATATTTTGAGTGAGGAAGACCAACACGAATTAAACTTTGTCAAGTTAAATGTATTTGCTAAAACTCTAGGTAGCAACCTCAAAAACAGTAATGTAGAACTTCTAAGCCAGTGACAACTACAGATGTCCTAAATGTATAAAATATAAGTAGGAGGTAACAATCCACATGTCTGTAACCAAAATAATGGATAAATTGTAGTGTATTTTAATGATGAAAAAAAACTACTGACACATGAACAGGAATGAAACTTCTATATATTTTGTTGAAGAAAGTCATATTAAAAAAAGAAAAAGGTATACTCCATATAACTATTTATATTGATGTCAAGGACACGTGAAACTAATCTATGGGGACACAAATTAGAACATTAAATGCCTTTGAGGGTTTAAGACTGACTGGAAAGGGGTATACTGGAATTTTGGGCAGGTATGTTTGTTTCCTAAGCCTGCCTTAACAAATTCCACAATGTAGTGACTTCAACACCAGGAATTCATTCTCTCAGTTCTGTAGGCTAGAAGTCTGAAATCAAGGTGTCCATAGAGCCATGCTTCCTCTGAAGACCCTAGGGAAGAATCCTTCTCTCTTCTTCTGGTGGCCCCAGATTTTCCATGGCTGGTGGCAGATCTCCAATCTGACTTCATTGGCACATAGTCTTCTTCTCTATGTACCTCTGTGTGTCCTGTCTCTAACAGAGACCCTGTCATTGGATTTAGGGACCACCTTAATCTAGTATGATCTCCACACTTAAATGTATTTGCAAAGCCCCTATTTTCAAATAAGGTCATATTCTGAGTCTCCAGGTGGACATGAATGAGGGCAGGGGTTGGGGGTGCGGACCCTATTTAACCCACTACAGGAGGTGATGGGCAACGTATATAGTCGTAAAACCTATCCAGCTGTGCATTTTTACAAGTAATGTGCATAATTTATAAGTAAATTGTATCTGAAGGTTTTAAACAAGAAAAAAAATGGGTACAAAGGCCATACACTAACTTCAGGATAATGTAATTGTTACTTATAATTACATCTCTTTTGAAGATTCTATAAATTATATTGGATGCTCACCTATGTAATATTACTTACATTTATGGTTATTTTAAAACAGAAATATCCTATTGGATGGACAAGGTGGGACGATACTAAGTAAATGTTGAAATAGCATCTGGAAAATTGATGTATGAACCTTATAAACTTTACTATATCTAATGATAAAAAGAGTAATTTTAAAGAAACAAAATACTGTTTCTAGCCCTAGTATAAAATTCAGATATAAAATCTTATATCCTAATATAATTTCTAAAATATGAAAAACTCATATAACTTTTAGTTATCACTATACCAAGCAAAGTCATAAGCATAACAAGATATAGGAGGTCACACTGACTTCATTTTATCAGGTTAACCCACAGAAGAAAGAAGTAAGAGAAGGACGAGAAAACTCAGCAACTATTGAGACTTTAGCTTTAAGGCCACATCCTCTTTGCCCTACATACAATTTTTATTGCATATAAAAGAATATGAAGCCCTAAGTATTCAAACTAGCAGCTATACAACAAAGTGAGCTGTATACCACACCTTTCCTGTAGTTATAATGATTCAACATCTGATATATTTACAGCTAGTTGTAGCAAATCTATATAGGTTTTAGTTCCACAAGATGCTCTCCCTGCTTCTCCTGGGCTCCCAACAGCCCTGATTTGATTTTTATAGCTTCTCTTCTAGGAAGATATTGAAACAGGAGTTTTGTTCTTCTTCTGAAAGGAACTCAGAAACCAGGAATTAGGGCCAAGGTTGCTCTTTGAATTGACCGTTAATATCTGATTCTTCCCACCTATCCCAGGATTTTTTTTTTCTATAAACTGTTCAACTGCTTTATCTGCATATGGAGTCTGTTTCATGGACCTTCTCTTATTTACAAACCTATTGATGCTTTCCAAATTGTTTCTTATTTACTACCATATTTTCCAAAATCTGCAACTGTGTTGGAAAAAAAGAATCGACACAAAAAGTTACTTCCTCAGATATAATTCTTCATTATATTTTAGAAGTCTACTTTCTAGACATATATACATTTTTGTATGTGTAACATAACTTTATTTTTCATAACTGACCATACTTTACATGTATGCTAACTTGTTCAATTTCAGTTAAGTTGTGAGCATCTTTTCCTAGCAATGAACAAAACCAGTATCACTCTCTTATTTTTCTGGAAGCATCAGTTCTATCTGCTTCCTCGGTTTACCACAACCACCCATTCAGTTATCCCCAACACTACTTTTCTGAAGACCATGACCAGTTTTCTAAACTTTAAGGCAAGACCTCATTCTCAGTTTCTGGTCCTCACAACTCCTGTAGCCTGGGTCACTTCAGAAAGTTTTATTCCTCCTGTGGCTTCTATGATAATGTCCCCTCCTATACACTTAATTCCAACTCACTATCCTTATTTCCACTAATTCTCTCATAATTCAGGCTCTTATGATTTCTCACTAAGCCATTTATGATGCCCCAACCCTATATCCACCTTTATTTTACCGTAAAGTCTGTTTTTGGGTTGATTCT